TTATCTAGAGTGAAGGTGTGCCAACATTGATCAGAATCACATGCATGTCCACTAATTACATTTCCGTAGTCAGCCAGGTATGTAAGTTTTACTTCCACAGTGTCCCGTACAGTAATGTCAGTTTTGGGTGACCATTTAATCTGTGAGGGTGGTTTATACACTTAACATCCAATTCGGGTTTGTTCTCCAATTTTTCCTGTTAGAACACTTGCATCATATGGTTTACCAGGATATTCCCAGTTATTCAGTACCCTCGTTCCTTGGAAGACTATGACAGATGGATTGTATTGGTTCAGTTCGAATGGGTGAACCGGAAGTTCTGGATCTATATAAAATTGTAGACCAGAGCTCCCACTGTAGGTCTGAGACCATAATGATTTTTGGGCAAGGGCTTGATCTAACACCAATGTACTTATCAGTCCAAAGATCAGCATTGAGAAGGCTTGATAGCAGATGATTCCTCTCCCGAGGTCCATGCTTCCTCTAGAACCCTCTTGACTTGAGAGTAGTGGATCCATGTGGGTTTCTCTTTCACCCAGATCGCTGTAAAGGTGGTCATCAGCACTTGGTAGGGTCCATTCCACTTCTCTCGTAGTGGTTCTCCTGAAAGATTCTTAACATATACCCGATCACCAGGATTGAATGGATGTAACTTACGATCAGGCTACTTAGGTTGGTATTCTAACACCACCGTAGCATTTTTCTGCAATTGTTTTCCTACAACCATAACATAATCATACACATACTGATTACCGATTTGATCCAAAGCTTCACTATTCACAGTTTGCATCATGTAGGGTCTGCCGAATAGAATTTCAAATGGACTCAGTTTCCCTTTTGACCTCGGCTTGACCCTTAACCTGATTAAAGCAATAGGTAAAGCTTGGTACCAGTAAAGATTTGTTTCTTGACATATTTTAACAATTTGTTGCTTAATGAGATGATTCATTTTTTCTGCTTGCCCACTTGCTTGTGGTTTGTAGGGCGTATGCAATTGCCAATCAATTTTCAATGCTTTACTTATTGCTTGCACCACTTCTGCACAAAAGTGTGAACCTCTATCTGAAGAGATACTCTTGGGTACCCCAAATCATGGTATAATCTCATTTAACAAGACTTTAACCACTTCTCTGGCCAACCGGAAAATGTGTCAGTCAAAACTAATAAATAATGGTACCCCCCTTTTCTTGGGAGTTCAGAAAAGTCAATCTGCCAAATCTCACCTGGGAAGCATCTTCTTTTTATTGCCCCTGGATTAATTTTAAGTTTGGTGTTTGGATTATTTTTCAGGCAAAGTTCACATTGGGATGTGACCCGCTTTATTGTGGTAAATAAATTTGGTCCTGCTACTCTAGTTTTTAAGTGTTGATAGAGTGGATCCAAACCCCAGTGAGTTTTATCATGTTCTACTTTCACAAATTGCCATATTAATTTTTCTGGTAATACTAATTGGTCTGTCTTCAATTGACCCCATCCATTGTGTAACAGTTTACCTCTGTTTTTGTGTATCTACTGATAATCTGTTTCCTGATACTCTACCTGTTGATCTGTGTCTAATCCTTCTGGCACTAAAGCTGCTACCAGTTGTTCATTACCTCTTGCAGCTGTTAATTTGGCTTCTGCATCAGTTTTTCTGTTTCCTATTTCTGGAACAGTGTTGTCTTTCAGGTGTCCCCTGCAATGCATTATAGCCACCTGTGATGGGAGTTGGATGGCTTCTAACAATCGCAGGATCTCCTCTGCATGTTTAACAGCTTTTCCTTGAGTGGTCAATAGTCCTCTTTCCTTCCAGATCGCTCTGTGGGCGTGTACAACAGCAAAGGTATATTTAGAGTCAGTCCAGATGTTGATTCACTTTCCCTTTGGCAGTTCAAGAGCTCGGGTAAGAGTTATTAGTTCTGCTTTCTGGGTTGAAGTTCCTGTAGGTAAAGGGTTGGATTCAATTACCTCTTCTGTTGTGGTTACTGCGTAGCCAGCCATCCTTGTGCCCTGTTTCATGAAACTGCTGCCATCTGAGAACCAGTCGTCTGCATCCTGGATCGGTTCTTCTTTGAGGTCTGGGAGACTGGAGTACACTGCTTCAATGGTCTCCAAGCAGTCGTGTACAACAGGTTCCACTGAGATTCTTCCTTCTAGGAATGAAGTTGGGTTGACAGTGTTAGTTACCTGAATGGTTACATCATCTGATTCAGCTAGGATTGCCTGGTATTTCAGGAATCGGGAAGGTGACAGCCAATGGTTCCCTTTCTGTTCCAGTACTGCAGATACAGTATGGGATGGTATTTTCTGTCCCATAGTGAGCTTTCTGGCTTCTTCTATGTTTACAACTACTGTTGCAACTGCCCTTTAGGCAAGTAGGCCATCCTTTGCTTACCTCATCCAATTGTTTGGAGAAGTAGGCCACTGCTCTTTCGTGCACCCCCAGTTGTTGAACCAGGACCCCTAAAGCCATTCCTTGACGCTCATGCGAGAACAACCAGAAGGGTTTCGTCACATCAGGTAAACCCAACGCCGGAGCCCTCATGAGTTCTCGCTTCAGTCTTTTGAAGGCTTTGTCTGCCTCGGGGGTCCAGATTATGTGATCCTTATTCACTTTCAGCAGGTCATACAAGGGCTTTGCAATTATCCTATAATGATATATCCACAAGCGACACCAACCTGTCATTCCTAGGAAGGCTCGGAGGTTTCTCACCGTTTCTGGTCTGGGTGTCTGGCAGATGGCTTCTTTCCTCGCTGTCCCCAGGGATCGTTGTCCTCCCAATACTTCATATCCCAGGTACACGACTTTCTCCTGGACCAGCTGAGCTTTCTGTTGAGAGACTTGATAACCACTTAAACCTAAGAAGTTTGAGAGATATTGTCCACTGAATACAGTCCTCTTTTATTTCATTTGCTATTAGGAGATCATCCACATATTGCAGAAGAACGCCATCTCCCAGTGACTGTTGCCATAATTCTAGCTCTCTGGTTAGCTAGTTACCAAAAACTGTGGGACTATTCTTAAAGCCCTGAGGCAAGACCGTCCATGTAATTTGCATTTTTCTCCCTCTGTTAACAGACTCCCATTTGAAAGCAAAAATATTTTGGCTTTCCTGTGCTAGGGGTAGACAGAAAAAGGCATCTTTTAAATCCAACACTGTAAACCAAATCAAATTGTCCCTTAATTTAGTTAAAAGTGTATAAGGATTTGCTACAACAGGATGTATAGTTTTAGTTGTTTCATTTACTGCTCTTAAATCTTGTACTAACCTGTAGGTCCCATTTGGTTTCTTCACTGGAAGGACTGGAGTGTTAAAGTCTGATTCACACTCTATCAACAACTCTAATTTCAAAAAGTTTTCAATTATTGGTTCAATTCCTTGTCTATCTTCTAGTCTCAATGGATATTGTTTCCTAGTCACTGGCTTAGTTCCTGGTTGTAGTTCTATTTGAATAGGAGTTGCCCATTTTGACCTACCTGGAGTGTCAGTGGCCCACACCAGGGGGTACACCTGATTTGTAATTTGGTCAATATCCTGATTGTTTGGTTTTAGTTCTATGCAGCTCTTAGCCAAACTCAGAGATGCCAATAATTGTTCTTCCTTTACTTTGAATTCAATTTTACCTTGTTTAAATTCTATTACAGCTCCCAGATTTTCTAATAAGTCTCTGCCCAGTAAGAGTTTGGGTGAACTTGGTAAATACAAAAACTGATGCAATCCCATTTGTTTCCCAATTTTAAATTTTAGGGGTTTCAAAAAGAAAGCCTTTTCTGATTGACCAGTGGCACCAACAACCTGTACATTATGGCATTTGGGGTACTTTATATGATAAAGAAGGATGCACGCTCTTCTGAGGTGGAGAACAAAGAGGTTTATTTCAAATTAGGTGCTTCCCTTTATACCCTGATATCATGTGACCTTCTTAACCAACAGGGTTATCCATCTAGGCGCATGCTCCCTTGGGCTTCTCTGCCCCGGTACGTCCCCTGTACCTTGGACATGCCTCCTACAGTACATAATTATCAGTCTTAAGTATCAATTCTTGATTTAAAACAGAAACCGTAACCCCAGTTGAAGCCAGGTAAAACCTGGAAAGCGAATCTAGTAGAGCAATGTAAGGATTAGAGAGAGTTAAACACAGAATACAGGTTTCTAGGCAAAGCATGGAAAACTTAGTATTAGGAAATAGCAGAGGCAATAAATTCACTAGAATGCAGGGCGCTGTGACATGAAAGAACAGAACGGGAAGAACTAAAATGCTAACACACACAAAAAGGACATATGGAAGGAAAACAACAGGAGATAAGGAAAGAGACAAGTCAAGAGATGAGGTACTCTTGCCAGATACTGAAAGTCCTTGCCAAATGCATCAGGATACTACCCAAATTAGGGAAGGTTCAAAAGTTTATGAAGATGATGGTAAAAGGACAGTGAGTTCATGATGAAGTAAGACCGGATCAACCACCAAAGTTCTCCCCAAATTAGTGACCACGCCTCAAACTCTGCCTCGACTCCGCCTGTTATGAATATTAAAAGTAGATGTTGCAAGATAATGAATATTCATAATATGTGATGTAATTGCTTGGCAAAAAGTGTATAAAAACTCAATTGTAAGTTTTCTCGAGTGGAGCAGTTTGTCCAGGGTGACCTGGTTGCTCCCCGGTCGTAAAATAAATACCTCCTGCTTATAGACTGAAAACTCTGTCTCTGAGCAGTTCTTCTACGCCTTGTTTGGGGCACAAATTGGCATCACAGTGTTGATTAAAAAGTCCAGTTTTTCTTCTTCCCCTAGCCGAATTGTAACCAGCGGGTCTGCCAGGGAAAAAACAACCGGTCCCCGTCATTCACTATCCTGGTGGGCCATGACAGCCCCCCCGAATTTCTATTTGCCTGGGTAGGACACTCTCTCTTCCAGTGTCCCTCTTGCTTACAATAGGCACATTGATTTTGACCTATTTTGTTTTTTTGAAGGGTAAACCTTCCCTCCCCCGGATTGCCTGTCCTCGACCACGACCCCTGTAATACTGTCCTGTTGTTATCGGGTTCTGTGTTAAAACAGCAGTCATCGCCCTTGTAAGCCTTCTATCTGCCCTCTTCTCCCTGTTGTTGTACACTTTCCAAGTTTCATTCATCAACACCTCTAAATCTTTATTGGTAGGGTGTTCTATTTTCTACAGTCTTTTTCTAATATCAGGATTACATTGTCCCATTAATAACCACACCAAGTGTAATTTACCTTCTTCTGATGATGGATCTAGGGTAGTGTATTTTCTCATGGCAGTTCTCAGTCTATCCAAAAATTCTTTGGGGGTTTCATTTTGTCCCTGCCTTATGTCATACAAGGCTACCCAGTTAACCGCTTTAGGTATAGCATTTTGTAATCCCACCTTAATCAGATCTCTATATATTTGATCAACAGTCTATAATGGTCTGGGTTGTTTGAGTTCCAGTTAGGTTGTTGCAATGGGAAAATTTGATCTACATCCCCTGTTTAAGCTCCCGTCGCAATCTGTCCTACTACTTCTCGTCTAGTTGTTTTTATTACAAGTTCTTTCTCTGTTTCTGTCAACTGCCATAACATCAAATCAATATCTGTCCAATCTATTTCCTGATTCTTTGCAATTAATTCAAATCTCTTAACCACTTTCTCAGGATTCTCCCTAAAGCACTTAACTTCCTCTCTCCAGCCATTCAAATCATTTGCCGAAAAGGGTGCTTTCACTTTTGTCTGTGTGCCTGTAGGTGTTATTACCTGACGCAGGGGTACCAACATGTGACCCATCTCTGCTGTTTAGGCTCTTGTCCTGACTCCACTCTTCCTTCTAGCTTTCTGTCCCGAAATCTGACCACGATGAGTGCTACTTATTCCTTCCTCAGGGTCCTCTATACTCTCAGCTATACTCCTAGAGTCGTCCACCCCTAGTCCCAACTCCTGCGGGCTACTTGGTCCTTGCCTAGTTGGTTCCGGTCCTCTAAAATGTGTCGACTGCAATTCCTGAGGGTCCAGGATATTCATCACTCCCTCTTTTTCCCAGCTTAAGACACCTCTGACCTATACTACAGATATCACAGCAATGCTTTCTCGGCTTACTACTTTTCTGATCCCTTTCCAATGCCAACACAAGGGGATCCTGGGGGGTTACATTAATTCCACAACTTTTCTACCACTCTGGTTTATTTCTTAAAGCTAAAAACATATCTGTGTACATTACTTTGTCCCATTTTTGTTCTCTACGGAGGAATAACATAAGCTACAGGATTGTATTATAATTAATACTCCCCTGAGGGGGTCATTTTTCACCATCATCTAAAGTATACAGAGGCCACCAGTTTTGACAATGTTTTAAAAAGGTCTTTTTACTCAGGTTACCCCCAGGGGTTCCTCCCAGATCTTTCCAGTGGCTCAATATGCACCCCACGGGAGTCTTGGAATTTATCTCCTTACTTGCTTTGGCTCCCATTGTGAAAATAGGGGATTAAAGCTAAAATATCCTAACCACAACTATTATAATCCAAACAATATTCAACTGTCAGACCTAAATACTGCTTTTCGACAAAGACTTCCTAAAATCACCAGTTTTATAACCAACTTGCACTAATACAAAAATCCACAAGATGTCATCCTTAAACCACAAATATGCCTGGCTTCTACAATAAACCTGTATATCCACAAAAATCCACAAGATGCCGCTGTTGACCACCAAATGCACACTCTGTAGCCTCTATACTTAAAAATCCAGACCAGATTTTAAGACCCTAAACGTTTCGAAAGAAACACTGGTCTATGAGTTCTACAACAGTAATATCGGGGGCACCTAGTTTCCTCCAAAGTTTGGTTAACTCCACATCTAATACAATACAAATTTAAAGTCCAACCTAATCTTATTTCCTGGGTAGATCAGGGTCCAAGAATGTATTTCAAATAGTTATTACATAAAGCACGCACATACAATGAACAATTGTAAAATGGACAGATCTTAATTCTAGGTTTTAAGTTATGTAGTGTATTCACAGTCAATTTTTCAGACTCCCTCCCCATACAAGTTTAACAAGATGTTTCTATGGTTGGTTTAGGGTGGACAAACTTCAGGAGCTCGATTTTGCCTCCAACACAGAGTAAGAAAACACAAAATTAGCAAAGCAATATAAAACACACAAACTGCTATGACAACTGCTATTTTCCAAGAATACATAATAGGTGCCTTAAAGCATAGACAAAAGAACAACCAAAAGGAAACTTGGGTGCTTTGTTTTCCCCGATATAAACACTCTTTGGTCAAATACAGGCAAAAACAGAAGATACCAGTCCAGAGGGGATATTCCCCAGGAAGAGCATCCTCTCCCGTGTCCCCGTGAGAGACGGTTTCCCGCCTTTGACTTACGGGTATCCAGAACCAGAATAATCAGAACCAGAATAAACAAAACCAGAAACCAGATACAAATACCTTTTGTCAATAGGCAGTGTTCTTGTCCAGCCCTTGCAAGAAGTCACCGAAGGAGGGAGTCCCTTCGGGTAGAAAGACTTACCCAAGGGCACCCAGGGGGTCCGGTATTCTGAGGGATTCTGCAGTTGGGTGGAAAAGGTGTGCTGCTGCAGTTGCCAAATGAATCAGAAAAATCCAGTATAATAAACTGCCCAGAGACTTTTGATCTTTGAACAGCAAAGGTATTTATTGACAGCACTGGGAACAAGCCAGCTAGCACTGGACAAATTTGCTCGAAGGTTTCACACAAAATCAGCAGTTTTTATGCAATTTTCATATATGATTAAGTGCATATTCATGTGATTACAACATCTATCTATACATATTAATAACAGGTGAAGTATAGGTGGAGCTCAGGAGGGGCTTGGGGCGGTGCTTTCCCTGGCCCTCAATTTTGGTGGTACTTCCGTCCTTCCTCCCATGGGTCTGGGGGCTAATTCTCATCTTGGTCGGCTTGACCTCCCTTCTCTTCTATTGTTCTCGACCTGCTCACTGAAGCTTGGAGAAAGGCTTGGTTTCAGGCCTGTTTCTTCTATTCAAATGTCTACTTTATCTTACTGCATCTTAATTTATTATCTCTAGGCCTATTCTATGTTTCTTTTACCATTCTTTTAAGTTTTGGTCCAGTAGGTAGGACAGAACGAGTACAGATCGTTTAGATGTTCATAGCTTGTTAGCAGGCCCAAATTTCTCAGTTAACTCTTTTGGGCCTGGCCTCCTGTTTCACACAGTCCCTGGAATACACCCGTGTTTGTCATTAAGAAAAAATCAGGAAAGTGGTGGTTGTTGCATGATTTAAGAGAAATTAATGATGTTATGGCTACTATAGGGACCCTACAACTAGGTCTCCCCTCTCCCACTATGATTCCAACTGGATGGTCCATAGTGGTTTTAGATCTGAAAGACTGTTTTTTTACTATTCCTTTATACATAGATGATGTAGAAAAATTTGCATTTACAGTGCCTTCTATAAATCATGCAGAACCATCAAAGCATTATCAATGGAAGGTGTTACCCCAGGGCATGAAAAATTCACCTACAATTTTTCAGTGGTTTGTAGCTCAAGGCTTGAGTCCTGTCAGAGAACAATTTCCTGATAGCTATTGCTATCATTACATGGATGACATTCTCTTAGCTGCAGCTTCAGAAAACCAATTGTCTGCACGAGAACAATCTACTCATGCTGCTCTACAGCACTTTGGCTTAGTTGTTGCCCCTGAAAAGGTACAACGACAGCAACCCTGGAAATATCTGGGAGTGAAAGTGTTTGATCACACTGTAAGCCCTCAGCCAGTGCAACTTCAGACACAGGTTTCAACCCTGAATGATATTAAAAAATTGGCAGGAGTTATTAATTGGCTACGTCCTTATTTAGGACTAACTATTGCTCAACCCTCTTTTTGAGTTGTTAAGAGGAGACAATAATATTAATGCACCCCAAACTCTTTCCAAGGCAGCACTACAAATCATTAGATAAGTGGAGCAAGTCATCCACTCAAAATCCGTTTGGTGACTGGATTTAACTTGTCCACTGCAAGTTTTTGTATTTACATCAGAACTGATACCTTTTGCTGCATTAGTTGAATGGAATGTACATTGGACTGACCCTTTGCATGTGTTGGAGTGGGTCTTCCTGTCAATCAAAGTGAAAAAGACTGCACCTGGACTTTTTGAATTGCTTGCAGAGCTAATTATAAAATGTAGAATTCGCACAGTAGAATTGTTAGAGCGAGACCCAGAACGGTTTGTCATACCTGTCCAGATAGAATATTTTGAATGGTGTTCAGCTAATAGCACTGCCCTGCAGGTTGCCTTACAGAATTATCATGGAAACATTTCTTATCATTTGCCTGCTCATCCTTTGTGCAAGCTGTCAACGCAAATTTCGCTAGGTCAAAAAATGCTTGCACAACGGACACCTGTTGATGGGTCGACTGTTTTAACTGATGGCTCAGGAAAAACACATAAAGCAGCCATAGTCTGGCACGATGGACAGTCCTGGTGCAATGACACTGATTCAAGAAGGCTCACCTCAAGTGGTAGAACTTCGTGCAGTAACCATGGTATTTCAACGCTTTTGTGGACCTGTTAATAAGCTATTGCTTCCCATCAATTTTTTCATCAAAGTGCCGGAGCATTACAATGGTAGTTTCAATTGCAGCCCACTGCTGCTTGTTCCATTGTTGCGGCCTGTCCTGATTTGTCAAGGCCAACCAATGCCCACTTATTATGGCACTAATCCCAGAGGACTGCAGGCGTTACAAATTTGGCAGACTGATGTCACTCATATTGCAGAATTTGGCCGCTTGAAATATGTGCCTCTGTCTATTGATACTTTTCCCTCTGTTTTAGTCGCTACTGCCCATACCGGTGAGACTGCTTGCGATGCTATTCGTCATTGGCAGCGGGCATTCTCTATGTGTGGCATTCCACGCCAAATCAAGAAGGACAATGGTCTTGCATTCATCTCATCCCATGTAAAATCCTTTCTTCAAATGTGGGGGATTTCTCATGTCACCGGTATTCCTCATGCCACCCAGGGTCAGGGTATTGTGGAACGGGCTCATGGTACGCTTAAACACCAATTGCAAAAACAAAAAGGGAGAATGATGGGGGAGACTCCTGAAGTTCGATTAAACAAAGCTACGTATGTACTCAGTTTCATTAACATTGCAGAGGACCAGCAGGACCCACCTACGGTCCCGCACTTTGGGTCTTTGTGTAAGCTTACGCCTGTTTCCCCTGGGGTGAAGGTCAGGATAAGGGATTTACAGACGGAGCAGTGGTCTCCTCCCTGTGATTTATTAACCTGGGGAAGAGGATATGATTGTGTTTCCACAGATGGTGGCCCTCGATGGGTCCTTGCTCATTGTGTTCGACCTGTATTGGGTGATGCACATATGCGACGCATGGATGATCCAACAACCGAAGCAGAATGCATGGGTAACCCTGGCTAAGACTATGAATCAAGACACCTTGTGCCTTTCTGTTGCTACCCCTGAAAATCCATTCTCTACCTGTTTGGTTGGGTTGCCCCTTGACAATTGGCCACGACCTACATCTGTGCCTTGGGGACTGTGTAACAGTCCACAATCCTGTGTTGATTCATGGGATTTAGTGTATGCGTATTTACCTCAAGTAACGCAGGAATCTCAAGAGCTAGAATTATTAGGATCAGTTGTAATGGATGTTTGTGTAGTGTTTAATTATAATACCTCTCGAAGAAGTCAGTGTCGCTGGGTATCTGTCAAAGGTCTTGGTCTGAAGGGGGGAAGAAAGACACACAAGACACACTAGGACAGTGAGACAAAGAGATGTCTGCCTGCTCAGCGTAGTAGGCAGCTTTTTATTAAGTGCTAACTTCTACTTTCTCACACACATACTATAAACATGTTCTCACAAAACACTCAGGAATGTAACACCTGCGGTTTGCCAGACAGCTCTGACCTTGTATTGTTTAGTACTCAGGGCTGTATCTATGGGAACGTGTAGTTATCTTCACTTTTCTCAAGGGAACGGTCTTACACCCTGTAACGCTTCAAGTTCCTCTACTTCCAGGGGGTTCAGGGGTTCTATGGGCCTGCCATCTCCCCCCACAAGTCAGAATGTAAATGCCACTCTACTTATGCATAGAAATGCTATGGCCTGGTGTAAATACACTTCTTCACATATATCACTTTCTTTTTCTGTTCCAGTTACGTTGCCTGCAGGGACTTTTCTAATTTGTGGAGATAGAGCATGGGGGGGAATCCCCTCAAAGTTTAATGGTGGTCCGTGTAGCCTTGGGAGGCTTACATTACTAACACCCAACATTATTACTATGATTCACAAAAGACAACGACCTAAAAGATCCATCCACAATTTTGCAAGCGATTGCAAAGAAAGGGTCACCTTTTGGGGACCTGGGGAAATTATAGTTGCCTCAGCATTGGCACCTGGGGTCGCTGTCGCAGCAGTCTTGAAAAAGCTGACGAATTTGGGATGTTGGTTAAGTAAGCAAACCAGTGCTACATCAGTTGGGTTGAGTGGTTTGTTGACCGATGTTGATAGTATCAGGCATGCTACTCTGCAAAATAGAGCTGCCATAGATTTTTTACTGTTAACTCAAGGACATGGATGTGAAGATTTTGACGGGATGTGTTGTATGAACTTATCAGATCATTCACGGTCAATACATAGAAGTATCCAACAACTAGAAGATGGAGTAAAGCAATTGTGAATCGATAAAGAGTGGGATTGTCTGGATAACTTGTTTAAAGGATGGGGACTGCCAGGATGGTTACTGTCTCTAGTAAAAACTGGGTTGTTGGTTTTGTTTGTTATTGTAGTTGTGCTATTAATGTTGCCATGTCTTGTATCTCTGCTGCAAAGGACCCTGCATCCGACGGTACAGGCAATTTTTGTGGCACAAATACAAAAAGGGGGAATTATGGAGGAATTCAGCTGGTCCTGGAGTTCTCTGAGTGAAATGAATATAACACAGATACCTGCGTATCCCTGAGACAGCTAGGGAAGGAAGTGAGAAGAAGGAAGTCGGAACTGCAAAGCCAGATATCCTGAACTTTTTGCAAAATCATCATGAGCCCGCAAGATCTAAGTCACTGTGAGTTTGCAAATGCTGAATCATCATGAGTTTGCTACAAGGCAGCCAATTCTGATATATATTTATGTAAAAGCATCAATTGTAATGTAACATGTATGTTACACCAGGGGGTATAAATGTAGTTGATCTGTTGCAATAAAGGTCCTATTCTTTTGGAAGAAGACTGTGTTGTGTTTTGGTCGTCCCGACGGCGACATTTCGGTGACCTTTACAAAGCAGTCAGGGTCTCAACCGGTTGTCTAACTGCAACTGGATGAAGAACTTTGTAGTGTCTAGCGCAGTGCATTGTAAAAATTCATATAACTGAAAATCTGTTTAAAGGTGTTAAAAAGAATTGAAAAGAACAACAAAGATAGTGTTAATGAAAATCTAGCATGAAAAATTTGCTATATTTAAAATACAATCTGTGAAGGACCAGGTCTAAGCATGTTTTGTCTCAAACATTCTGACTGTTGTGACAGGAAAGTTGTGATTAGAAGAGAGTGTCCTGCAGAGGTGGGGTAGCGCTGTTCTGAGTCAACTTCCTGTTTTGCCTTGACACTCATGCTCAGTGCACCCCTGTCAACTCCCTTGCCCCAACTCACTGCCTGGCTATGCATGCATGAACTAAATGGTGTGAAAAATCTAGTTTATGTAAGAGATGTACACCAGGTTAACTATAAAAGGAAGTGGATCAGTCCCCCTCCCTCTTCTCTTTTTTTCTTCTTTTTCTCTTTGTCTTGCTACCTAAGATCCAGACCATCCATGCAGCAGGACCAACATGGGATCTCAAGGGGTGGTGATCTTTCTTCTCTTTCTATCTTTTCCATCTTTATTTCTTTGTCTTGGCAAAGTGCAGCTATCACATTCTACCCCTTCCTTGTAAGGACTGGGGGCTCATTGAAGTGTGTTGTAAAATTTAAGTACTTGTTAGCCAGCACTTTCAAGACTAAATAGTGCGCTGGTTGCTGGAGTTAAGGCGACTATATAATAAACGCATAAGAGTTCCCTGAAATGTGGTCTGGTGTCTTTGTTCAGACTAATGAGAATTAATAATGAACATCACACCCCCTACTGATGGGCCATGACATTAAATTGGCGTAGTTGGCAGGATTCTCATGCGGCTAAAATGGGCTGAACAGCTCTTCAGCTATTTATAGCTGGAATGGACTCAGATCTCTCTATCCCCAACTGGGGGACAGGATGGATCTGGAACAGGGAAGGGCAAGACATGGCAGTCCGGGAAATGCCAAGCCTTGACTGCTTTCCCCTCATGGACAATGCTTGCCTCATCCTCGTCATCATATGTGGAGCATTGGGTGTTGTGCTGATGGCAGCATGAAAGGATTCATGACCCCTTACAGAAACGTTTAGATAGAGTGCAAAATCAGAGAGAAATTTCTACAAGATTTGGTTGACTCCTTACAATACCTTTCAGATACAGAGTAAAATGAGAGAGAAAAATTGGAATCTCTGATGAATATAGACAAATGCCCCTTGAGCTTTGTAAGGCTGCAGAGCAAGAGAACACATTGAGAGAGACATTGGGTACCCTGGCAGGGATGAGAAGCCAGTGGGAGGAGCCCAAGAACTTGGATAGCGGCTCAGATGAACAACTAGTTGAGAAACTGCAGGAGGAATTAGCATGTGAAAGGAAGAGGGGTGATCAGGCTGCAGAAATTTTTAGAAACAGAGTGACTAACAAAAAGCTAAGTTGTACCCAGTAAAGGAATTAGATGAGCACCGTGAGACCATGTACAAAAAACAATTGGCAATGCAACCCCTAATTAAAATGGAAATAGTGGGGGGTGAGGAGGATGAAGAGAAGGAAATAACTACAAAACCAGTGTCCTATTTGGCTGAGAGATTAGCAAAACTCCAAGAGAAGTATGGTAAGCAACCGCAGGAGTCAGAGACTGAATATGTTTGTAGGGTGTCCCTAACGGATGGGGACAGGATCCTCCTATCAGAAGAGGAACCCCTGGGATACTGGGGACCAGGGGTTTTCCTAACGGTAAATGATCCTCGTGAACCCTGGTCCCTTGCCCAGAGGGCTGCCTATTGGGCAGGGGGTTTATCTCCCCCCAGAGACGGGAGACCCCATAAGTATTCCCACCTCGAGTGTGGGGGCTCTAACAGAAAATATTCCGAAGCTGGCTTGTCTTCAACTCATGCATGACCACTGGTTAGTGCTGCATCAGCCACCTGTAAGACCCCAGTCCAGAAGCCATGATCTTAACTGGGAGTATTACTTTTAAAAATATATTTAAGACTCCATGAGTTTGCCCACCAAACTTTTGCAGAGCCTATTGTTCTTATATACCTTGAGAGAGCCTAAAGAGAGAACGCAGACATGTTTTCCCAGGAGACTCTTTTAATTTTAGAAGGATAAAGGATTTTGGCAAAAGGTTAAAAGGAGTAACATACAACCAAAGTAGAGCATTCTACAAAGCACCAGTCCAGCACATGTCAACCCACAAAACTTAGCAGAATCCAACCCACCGGTTTTAAGTTACCTGAAAGAGATTAAGAATGAAGAAAGAAATTAAAAGAGTAAAGAAAGAAAGATTAAGAGAAGGAAAAGGAGTAAACAGAGAGAGAGGAATGACTAGAGAGACAGAAAAGAGATTAAGAAAAGATATTAAGAGAAAAATAGCTACCACTGAAGAATCGTATGGAAGTCCAGCTTCACATGGCAGCAATAGGCTCCAGAGAAGAAAGATGGCCTCGTGCTGCTGTATTTATGTGCTTTGGCCACCTGTGGCCACTCCTCCCAGGCAAGATGTCCTGCACTGATCACTCAGTGCCTCCCAGGTGGGAGTGAGGGGTGGTGTAGCCAATCAGAGGCTGGGTTAGGAGTTCCTGGGTGTGTGGTCTGAGTGGGCTACCAGGCTGCCCTTTTGACTGACAGCTATTCCATGTGAGTTCCGAGGCTGCAGTCCTGCCACGTGAGTTCTGAGGCTGGCCTTCTCCCCACACACACAAAGTTGGTTCCGACCCAATAATAAAATACTTTTATTGATCCAGGGTCTCACACCACCCCCGCACACTTTTGATTGCTAACCCCGATCTTATGACTCCATTCACTCAGGGACTACCAGACTCCTTAAAAATATATGCAATTCAGTTGCAAGATCAATTGCGACATGCATTAACCCCCCAAAGGAGGGGTCTCTGAAAGGTTTCAGGGGAGACCTCTGAAGTGGGGAGACATGGCCTGGGAATTGATTAATTATGGGAGGAGAATGGGCGTTAGCCTTGATAAGGAGAGATAAAAGCCTGCAGTTAAAAGAATGGAGAAAGAGAAAGAAAAACCACCCCCTTTACACAAAACGCCTAGGTCAGGGAGGAGTTTCAATCTCCACGAAATATGCTGTGGGCTGAAGGGAGAAAAAAGGGGATCTCCAGGGAACTGATAGATGGATTGCCCACTGCCACTTGTAAAACTGGTACTCGAGTGGCCAGGAGGACAGAGGAATACCAGGAGTGTTGGGGATCTCTCCCCCTGAGCGGCACAAAGTCATGAGGGCCCTCAAACTGTCCCAGCTACTCCCTCAGCTCCTGTTGGAGGTCTGGTTCACCTAGAATTAGGAAACTCCTCTGTCCATCCTCAATAAGTGATCTCGAGGATGACCAGTGGAGGTATTTAAGAAGGCTCACTGAAAACCCACAGGAGGATTTGATTCCGAAGCAACAAAAAAGGAGTCAGCCATGGAGAAGGAAAAGGTTGTAGAAGGGCAGGAAGACGCAGCTATGGAAGAGAAGGCAGTAGCAGAAAAGACAGCAGAAGTGCAGGCAGCAGGTGCTGTGAAGCAAAAAGAAGCTACAGAAGAGGAGGCCTGGGAATACTGGAGACCAGGGGTTTTCCTAAGGGTAAATGATCCTCATGAGCTCTAGTCCCTCATCCAGAGGGTTGCCTATAGGGCAAGGGGTTTAGATCCCTTGGAGAGGAAAGGCCCCCTAAGTATTCCCACCTCAAATGTGGAGGTTGTGTCTGGACTAACCCAAGCAGAAGCCATTAGTCAAGCCACAGGTGAAAGCACGCAAAGAGCTTTAAAACAGTGGTTCAGTTATTTAACCAAGCCTAGTTCTGCCCAATCATACCATGGCAACCACTTTACTGCTGGGGTGGTACAGAAGTGAACCAGGGGAGAAGGGATTAACTGGATCTTTCACACTCCTTATTACCACCCAGGACAACCAGTTTTAGTGGATTTATCCACTACTGGAGAATGACTTAACATGCCTTTGGGCAGTTATTCATGGGTAACTACTGATGCCCACAAAAAAGAGCATTGTATCCACATCAAATGGATAGTGTCTTCTTTTTAGACAATGGTTTAGAACTGGGCATTTTCCCTTTCTCTTTTCCTACAGGAACTACAACAGAGTAATTAACCTCATACTGTAGATTGATGTTAATGTCAGGAATTTTGACTGTTGTTTGCCTGGTTCTTTTATAATTTGTATCATCAGAGATGTTTTGGCAATGTGTCCTCTGTACCTTCTTCCTGTTAAATGTGAACTATTGTAATAGGACTCCAAACTTAGCTTGGAACTAATACAAGGATTTGTAAGAATATGGGGGTCTCACGGCCAAGGACTTTGCCTTGCCATGCCCCAGTTTGCACAGGAAGGAGTAAGATTCTTTCTGTTGCCTATAAATTTGTCTGCTGTAATGTTTATTACTTGTAACACTTGACCTGGGGACTTCTCCCAGAAACATGGTTTATATTTGGTATTAGAACTTTGTGGAGGATGGGGCATAAGCATGTTTTGTCTCAGAGGTGGGGCAGCACTGTTCTGAGTCAACTTCTTGTTCCACCTTGAGACTAGTGCTCAGTGTGCCTGCGTCAACTCCCTCCCCCCCCCCCCCCCCCAATTCACTGCCTGGAGGAGGACTGAAAAGGACTGGCTGCACATGTGTGAATGAAATGACGTGAAGAATCTATTTTACATAAGAGGCGTGCACCAGGTAAACTATAAAAGGAAGCAGATCGGTGTCCCTTGCTCTCTCTCCTTTTCCTCTTTTTCTCTTTCATTCTTTTTGTCTTCCTACCCCAAATTGGGACCATCCATGCAACACGGGATCTAAGGACTTGTGATCTTCTTTCTCCTTTGTCTGGGCAAAGTGCAGCTATCACATTCTACCCCTTACTCTGTATTGAGGTTGTTGTGAGTATTGGAGGCTTGTTGAAGTGTATTGTAAAAATTAAGAGCTTGTTAGCTAGCACTTTTGAAAAGTTTATTGTGGGAGTTGGGAACTTGTGGGAGATGTTAAAGAGTTTCTTGGGTTCTAAAACAAAGAAAAATGTGTCTCTTGAAAAAAAGAATTATGTTGTGAAACAGTGAAACTGGACACAAGATGCTGAAATAACTGAAAAAATATTTTGTAAATTGCCTTTGAAAGTCTATGGGTTGGGGCAATCCCAGATGTACATACAGACTGGGGAATGAGATGCTGGAAAGCAGTGCTGCGGAAAGGGACCTGAGGGTCCTGGTCCACGGCAAGTTGAATATGAGTCAGCAGTGTGCCCTGGCAGCCCAGAGGGCCAACCGCGTCCTGGGGTGCATCAGGCAAAGCATTGCCAGCCGGTCGAGAGAGGTGATTGTCCTACTCTACTCTGCACTGGTGCGACCTCACCTCAAATATTGTGTGCAGTTTTGGTCACCAGAATATAAGAAAGATACTAAGCTACTAGAAACCATCCAAAGGAGGGCTACGAAGATGGTGAAGGGCCTTAGGGGAAACCGTATGAGGAGTGGTTGAGGTCACTTGGTCTGTTCAACCTGGAGAAGAGGAAACTAAGGGGAGACCTCATTGCAGTCTACAACTTCCTTGTGAGGGGAAGAGGAGGGGTAGACACTGATGACTTTGAATTTTCAGGATTTTTACCTTTTTGTAGATTTTAATCTAGCTGTATAGTCTGTCATGCTTTAAAACTAAACCCTATTTCCCCATTTCATATCGAATTTTCTAAATTCTTCAAGATTGTTTAGACTTCTTTCAAGGCAGGCCTTCATTCTCTTTAAGAACATTTGCACCCCAGGCCTGAACAACAAGATACCATCATAGTCAAAGCAACCTTCAAGCCCTTAACCTTGGAGTAGCTCCAAAGACAGTACGTGCTGTGAAGAAGAGGAAGATGAGGAAGGACAGGGGTCTTAGGACCCCTGACTCAATTTCGAAGAGGCCTGCCAGAGGAGGATCTGGGGGAGGGATAGTTCTGGTATTGGATGGATAACACCATAAATTGTAGAACCCCTGGAAACAGGTGCATGCATCTTTGTACTCCCCATGCCAGAAGGCCTTCAGTAAAGACCTGCTCTTATCTTATCTCTATACTAAATTTGCCTGGAGTCTTTTTTGGCTCCTGATTTTTAAGGCAACACACTAATCTCTTCTCTGTGGTGACCAGTGACAGAACCTGAGGGAATGGCCTGAAATTGTGCCAGGGGAGGTTTAGGTTGGATATTAGAAAGAAGTTCTTCACCCAGAGGGTGGTTGGGCACTAGAACAGGCTTACCAGGGAAGTGGTCACAGCACCAAGCCTGACAGAGTTCAGGAAGCATGTGAATGATACTTCCAGGAACATGGTGTGACTCTTGGGGCTGGTCCTGTGCAGGAACAGGAGTTGGACTAGACGATCCTTGTGGGTCCCTTCCAACTTGGCATAATCTGTGATTCTGTGATACTGTGAAATTGGAGAAGGGCTGTACTATGGAAAAAAAACCTAAACAAACCATCTGGTTAAGGACCAATATGTTGTCTGTGATTTTTAACTCAGGTGATCAAATGAAAGCTGCTGTTCCAGGCAAGAAACCAGGGAGGCAGAACATCTTTTTTTGTCCTCTATAAAGACTCAGAGGTGATCAAGGAGCACTCTGACCAGCTGCTTCCCTTCCTTGCATCTGTCCTACACTGACCTATTCCAGCACAGGGGAATGTGCTGTGGACATTCTCAGACTTCCTTGTAGAAAATTCATGGAGAGCAGGATCGGTGCTCAAGTTGACTGCCTCTGAACTCAGGGGAGTACTGAGCGTATAAATGGGCATACCAAGAAATAGTAATCTGTTGTATATTTGTGTTGCATGTGTACAGAGTTTTGACAGGTCACACACAAACACGAACCCCAAAACAGTTTTTCTTCCATCCTGATCCTGCCAAGAAAGTTACCCAGTCTTCCAACTAACCCATCCACATCTGAAAATATAATGGCATTATCTATCTATACATCTATCTGTATTTTCACATATGTACAAATAGAGTTTAAAGCTACAATCACTCAGGTGTTTCAGAATGTTAATTATAGGATTCAATAAAAGAGTGAAAATATATCCCTGACTTGCACAAGATGTGATCAAACACATGAAAAGGTCTTCTAGCTATGACTCACTAAGAAACAGGTAAAGGTTTATGAGGTTGAAAGGAATAAACCCTTCTTCCACACTGGTCAACAAAGACTGGGAATTGGCTGCTATTTTGTCAAAAGGCCAGGTATATCCTGGTTGTTTTTCTGCTGTCCTCCTGGGAGGGAGGGAGGGAGAAAAAAAAGGAACTCTTGCACATCTTTTTTTGTTAATGTACTGCAAAAGAATCCCTTGGTCATCATCTTGCCAAAAGAAAGAACACAAGTCACCTTTATTTGACCCTACTAGAAGGGAACACCTCTTTCTCTTTTATTTTACCTTTTTAAAAGAATTTTTTTTTTAAAATGTGAGCCATACCAAGACAAGAAAGGATGTCTCACTTGACTCCCAAATGGAGAATCTTTCCAGAAAACCAGTTCCCTGTCAAGACCATAATGAAGAAGAATGCATTAATTTTAAACTGACCTGATTTTTCTAATAGGCTTATGACTCCCTGTTTTTGAGGGTAGTTTAGGAGTTGCCTGTTACATCAGAACAATCATCTTTCTTTCTTTTAGTTTTACCCTTCCAAACTTGTGCATGTAGCTGGAAAAACCTATATCCTGGTTAGCTCAACCATGGTGAAGAGAGAACTTTACTGAGGCTTTTACAAGATAAAATTCCTGTCTCAGTTTAAGGAGACTGGAGTGTTTTGCTAAGGAGAATGAGTTATGAGGTAGACCAAACTCCTCTCTCTCAGCAATCGTAAATCTGAAATTAAGAGGCTCCAATGGAGGAAGTATGGAAAAAGGAAGAAATAACAACCCTTTATTAAAGGATATATGTGTATTGGCAAAAACAGCAACAGAACACAAAAACAACTAAACAATAATCCTGTACCCAAAAGTCCCCTTCAAAAAAAAAGGAAACAGTTTGATACTTCTCTGTCCTCTAGCGTGATTCTAATCACGGTTGGCAGGAGCACTGTTGGATCCCTAAAGGTGCAGAGCCTGCAGTTGCTCGGTGTTGGTCAGCAGGGGGCGCTGTTGGACTCTAGAGGTCTTCGCGTGGGGACTCCAGATCGCAGGAGAAGATGAAAAACGGAGATTTTTTCCCCCGCACCAAGGAGGGGAAGGGGAAAAAATGTCGGAGGACAGAAATTGTGTGAACAATTTCTATTGCATTTCTGAGACCTTCACCTTGGTATGGCTTGGTGCAGACAGTAAAAAGATACTGCGACACTAATATGGCTGCAGGCCTTGTGCCAAGGTGAAGGAGGAGTTGTTCTGTCAGGAAAACAAGTTTTATGGACACCTACTGTTATCCAATTAGTACTGTACACCACAGTATGTTTTCCTTATGTATCCAATGTGGCCTGGGGAAGAGTCACATGTCTCTGTGCCACGGGCAGCATATAAGCTGCCTTTCCTCTAATAAAGGGGACATTTTTGCCAATCATATTGATTCGTGTGCAATTCTGTCCGAGCCTCTCCGCCGATAAAAAAAGGGGAAAGAAAGGCCATTTCTTTCCCACTAAACTCGCGCTGTCTGCAACTGACTGTAGACAGGACTCCTCCCTTGTTCATCAGTGAGCACAAACTCTACGATGAAATCTGAACAGATTCGGGCTGGAGACAGGGCAGTGCACAGGTTGGAGGGTAGCCAGATGACCAAATCGAGAGCAAAACGGTCTCGAAGCTTTTCCAACACACACACACACACACCCTTTGCCACGGTCCGTGGGGGAGGGGCGAAGGGCCATGGCACTGCACAAAGGGGTTCAAGCGAGGTCTGAGGTTTCAATGCTAGTTTAATGGGGGTGCACAAGGGTTTTATCAGCTCTGGCATGGAATGCACCAGAAAATGGGGTGGAACATGAGACAGACAACCAGAGAACAAATAGGGATAGGGACTTAGGCGAAGAGGGAGGAACTGGGGAGGAACCAGGGAAGGAAAGGATGAATGGTAGCTCTCTCATCTCTGCGACTTCTTCAACCAATCAGAGGGAGAAACAGGGAAGCAGGGAACAGGCACCAAGTATGCCTGGGCAAACCTGGGTATTACAACTTTCAGGGAATCGTACAATGTATATATTTGTAAACGCATAAGAACTGCAAAGTCCATATAATAAAGTCCTTTCAATCGCTGTATATCTTTTTCCACTCCTGAAACCATTCCCATTCTGATCCTTGCTCTTCCACACCCCATGGAAGTGAAGTGTCCCCCATTTGTAAGGAGAGGAGGAGAAAAACTCCTCCCCCCTATCTGCAGTTTTTTAGAAGGGCTATTAACTGGGAATGCAGGTCTGCCAACTAGTTCTTTTGTATAGTCAATTGCCCCTTCCCCTTCCTCGTTCAACCTCCTTCTCTTACAGTGGGACGGGGAAAGGAAAATTTCTGCTTGGATTTTTAGAACAAGTAAACCTATGGAAACTCCTCAAGAATGGTAGATGTGGCAGACAGCTGGTGTAACTCACCTAAGCACTGCTACACTACCACCACATGTCAGGGTTGACAGCAGGTCTGTTAGCTCTCTGGGAGAAGATATTGACCTGGGAAATTTACAGGTGTATCCTTGAGATAGGAGAGGTATGTACGCAGCCCTAACGAAAAGAAGACAGTTGTGGAGTGCTTAGATTCAGTCCTGTGAGAACTTCAATTTTAACCTTGAGCTTTGCCAAAAATATCACTAACAAATAATAGCCAATTAAAATACAGTTACTTACTTATCTTCTAAAACTACTGCTTGCTACTAACATGGCATATAAAAAGACTCGTGGGAAATAATAAAGGGACTGGTTCTTTGCTCGACACTAGACTGTGTGCTTTTTTTACTTTCGACCGTCATGACAATAACAAATGGTGACCCCGATGTGACACGTGATTAACGTGATCTCCAGAAGTTTCATTGACGACCTTGGCAGGTGATCTCCTAGAGAGTTCATCAGAGACTTCCGAGGTACTATCCGAGAGAGAGGCGATCCGTGGGGCAAAGCACGGGTGGTGGCAGAGTTTGGTGTAGCTAAAGAGCAACGGGAATTGCTGCCAAGTCCGGGCGAAGAGAAATAGACACCTGGTAAAAGGTGAACCCCCGAGATCAGGGATTTTGATAGTGGAAAATTAAATCTCTAAACAGGAAAGTATGGTACTATCCTCCTGGAAACATCTCTTAAAGTGTAAAGGTGTATATATTGATGACTACGCTTTGCGGCACCTGCTATTATGGTGTCGAAAGCAAGGATTTGAAGCTAACTCTGTAGTTGCATTCAGTGTATCCACCTGGCAAAAAGTGGGTGACAAGTTGTGGGATGAGATTCAGAAAGACGCTAAAGGAACAGAAGGTTTACCTACCACTTGGCATCTGGTAATTAACACCTTAAAAGACTGGTTTAATGAGTAAGTTTCGGAAGACGCGCAGTCATCTGAAACAGTGCCTGTGGTAAACACGGAGGAACATGAAAGGGAGGAGGGACCTTCTGTAGCTGCGGCACTGCCACCGCCACCACTGCAGCCGCCGCCACCACCTCTGCCTCTGATGATGAATTAGGCGCTTTAGTGGACAAATTAAAAAAAATGTGGGGCCCAACTTCATCTACTAAAACCACTAGCCCGGCTCTGAAAACTCAGAAAACTCTGAAAGTTCTCTATCCCTCACCCCAAGAGTTAGCACACACTTCTCGCAAGTATAGATCACCTACTGAGATAGTCCCTTGCCACTATAAGACTCCTATGGAGCTTGTAGAGGAATACCAAGCCAAACAAAGGCTTACTTCCTCTGCTCCCTTGCCGGAGGAGGACGATGGTGAAGATGTGCCTGTTACGACCCGCCCCAAGAAAGGGGGGGGGGAGGGAATAACCCAGACTTTATCAATAACTCCTTTGGGGTGGATTAAAGCGAAATAACACTAAATAATCGGTGTCTAAAGCATATATTGACAAGATTTATTTTAACAATTTTGTATCAATAAATATGCTAACATTTTGGGTACTGTCATAACCTTTCTGGGGAGGAGAAAAATGCATAGGGGAAAGAAAGACAGGATAAGAGTAAGGAAAAGCGAGAAAAGAAAGAGAAGATGAGATAGTCACCACCCACTGGATCCAGTGATGTCTTGATCCGCCGATGGTGGGGGGAGAAGGAAAAACAAAAACCCCGCCAAAACCCCCAAAGTCACCAGTCAAAATTTATATCCTTTGCACCTCCCCCAGGGCGGAGAGTTGTTTTCATAGGTTGGTGTCCCCCTTTTGGCGCGGAATTCATATAGAAGGCATGATAAACTTGGCTCTTCCCGCCTTTCGGGGCTTAATAGCTACACTCCAGTATTCCCAACTCTCCCCGGGGCTCCCAGTAACGCCCCCAGCTCCCGCACTCACATCCGACCGCCGCCGTCGCCGCCGGGGGGAAGGGGGGGGGGAATGGACCCAGTTACTCATCAGAAAGTCAAAAGCCTGCAGGAGTCTCTTAGAATGCGCAAATCATTAACTGTTTCAGTCTCTGACAGTGCCTAGCAGGGGGTTGTATCAATCAACATCAACCCCCCCAGCAGAGGATGCAAATGTACAGGAAACCGAAAGTGCCTCCATCTGTAGTCGAGTCTCTCACGGGGAGTCTTCTTGCTGTAAGACACAGTCATTAGCTGATCAGTGGACTTTGCCACCAGCAATGGTTACAGTGTTGCCGCGTAACCCTAGAAGGTTTTGGGAGGTCGTACGCATACAGGTTGCAGAACGGGGGAACTGGGATCTGTTGGAAAAGGTCGGGCACCCCTCAAAAGCCATAGATGAGTTTGCACTTGCACCAGGGACGGATTTGGGAGTAGAAGCTTACCTGGTGTTTAAAGCTGCCCCTAATTCTGGCAGGTAAGATGAGAACTGTGTATTCCCTTTGAAGGCTATTCAAGATTTACAAATGTATGTAACCAAATATGGAGTAAATTCTCCCTAAGTTATGCGTGTGCTTCCCATAATTAGTACTGGTTTATTAGCCCCTTATGACATTGAGTATCTACCTCAAGTTTTATTTGAACTCGTGCAATACCAAGTGTTTAGTGCTAATTGGTTAAAACAGGTAGAGCACACAGCAATGGAAAATATGAGACTTCCTGCAGGGGATCCTAGATTGACAGTCATCATGGCTAGGCTTCGCGAACGAAGATTTGGGAAGGCTCTATCCACACTTGTTACAGGTACGCTGGTGGTTTATGAGACCAATCCGAGACAGACATACCCGATTGCAAAAGGCACAGCAGAAAGACTCCTTAGATGGTATATTCTGCAAAACATGGTTCTTTCTGCGTTGCCTTTTCTCCTCGAGAGTGGTCCTGCGTGTGTTCTCAAAGGAGACAGCAGTTTTGTAGATGGTGTGTCTCCAGGCCTCCTGATTTGAGGCCAGAGTAGACCAGTTATGGTGATCAATATGACCATAGGTGAGATGTTGTTTCAGGAAGTCCTTGTATCTTTTCTTCGGGGCTCCTCTCTTGTGGCAACCAGTGACAAGTTCACCATAAAGCAAGATCTTAGGGTGGTCCTTCATCCTGGAGACGTGCCCTGCCCATGGCATCTGTGTTCTCATCAACATGGTCTCAATACTTGTGACTGCTGTTTGCTCTAGAACAGATGTATTGGTCACATAATCTGACCAGTGGATGTTTAGGATTGTACGAAGGCAGTGTTGATGAAAGCGTTCTAGGAGATGCAGGTGGTGGAGGTAGATGACCCATGATTCGGAACCATATAAGAGAGTAGACAGCACTATGGTTCTGTAAACACTGATCTTGGTACTTTTCTTCAAGTGTTTATTACATCATACTCTTTTATGGAGTTTTCCAAAAGCACTGTATGCCTTTGCTAACCTGTTGTCTATCTCTCCGTCAATCTTACCATCCGAGGAGATGAGGTTGCCTAGGTAATTAAACTGCTGGACTGATTTGAGTTCTGATTGTCCAATGGTGATGTGGGGATGATGGGGGACTTCCTGAGGTGCAGGTTGATGGAGAACTTCTGTCTTCTTTAAGCTGACTTCCAGCCCAAAGACATCAGTAACATCTGCAAAGCAGGATGTTAAACGCTGCAGGGCTGCTTCTGTGTGGGCAACAAGGGCGGTGTCATCAGCATAGAGCAGCTCCCGGACAAGATGATTTAAGGTATTGGTGTGGGCCTTCAGACGCCTTAGATTGAATAGGTTTCCATCAGTACGATATCGAATGTAGATACCGTCCTGATCATCGAGGTCTGCCGTGACCCTTTGGAGCATCATGCTAAAAAAGACTGTGAATAGGGTAGGAGCAAGAACGCAGTCTTGTTTCACACCATTCTTAATTAAAAAGGGCTCAGAAAGTGTGTTGCCATACCTGACTTGGCCGTGTTGATCCTCATGAAGTGAGATGATCATTTTAAGGAACTTGGGGGGACAACCTAAACGTTCCAAAATCTGCCACAGACCTTTTCTGCTCACAGTATCAAAAGCCTTGGTGAGGTCGACAAAGGTTACATAGAGACCTTTGTTCTGTTCCCTACACTTCTCTTGCAGTTGTCTGAGAACAAATACCATATCTGTGGTGCTTCTGTTGGCTCTGAAACCACACTGACTTTCAGGTAGGATTTCTTTTGCTATAGTGGGCATTAGTCTGTTCTTGTCAGGATTTTGCCAGCAATGGAGAGTAGAGTAATACCACAGTAATTTGAGCAGTCTGATTTAGTACCTTTCTTCTTTTACAAAGTGATGATGACTGCATCACGAAGGTCTGATGGTAGTTCACCTAGTTCCCAACAGAGCACCACAAACTCGTGAAATTTGGTGTGTAATGCAAGGTCCCCATGTTTCCAGACTTCGGGTGGAATTCCATCAACCCCAGCTGCCTTGCTGATTTTCACCTGTTGTATGACCTTGAGGGTTTCTCCTAAAGTGGGGGCGGTATCCAATTCATATTTTACTGGTTGTTGTGTGATGGACTGAATTGCTGAGTCTTGGACTGCACAGTTGGTACTGAAAAGTCTGAAAGTGATCCGACCATCGATTCAGAATGGAGGTTTTATCTGTTAGAAGTGTTTGACCATCAGCGCTGAATAGAGGGCTTTGTACCTGGTTTATAGGCCCATATGCTGTTTTCAAGACCTCATAGAAACCTTTGTGATCACCCGTATCTGCGCATAATTGAGTTTTTTCAGCTAGATCGATCCACCACTTGTTCTGGATGTCACGGAGTTTCTGTTGGAAGATTGGCAGTAGGAGTAGAGGTATTGATGGGAAAAACCTTTTTCAGTAATCCTGATTTACAAACCCACTGGGGTCTTACTGTGATACAAGTGTCAGCAGGTGGGAATGTTAGCCTTGATCAAAACCATGGAGTTTGCTTCCCCTCATCCTCAGTATACCACAGGGGTGGTATACTGAAACCGGGGGTGAAAGAACCGTTTTTGCAGTTTGTCGAGTGTATCGCAGTCTCATTAGGAAAACAAGTAGACGATGAAAGTCTGTGTCAAACGCTCCTAAAGTAGTAAGCAAAAGATAATGCAAACGAGGACTGCCAGAAAATCATAGAAACACTGCCAGGAGACCCGTCGGTCACTGATATGGTTTTGACATGTTCAAAAGTAGGTAGCGTGGTGCATAAAATACCTGCTCTGGCAGTGGTGCTATGCCCTACTACTTGCTGTTTCACTTGCAAAAAAGAGGGACATGTTAAAGCTAATTGCCCTCTTAGAGGTAATGAGGGAAAGCAAAAGGCTTTACCTAATACCCTGGGCATCCATTGTAATCACTGTGGAAAGCCCGACCACTTTGCAAAACACTGCCAATCCAAAATTAATGCTAATGGTCAGCCCCTGCAGGGAAACGGCAAGGCTCACTCGGACACAAATACCTTGCCTAGCTCAGCACAATCCGTATGCAGCTCCTCTGGCGTTCCCCTCTGCGACCAGCTCACTTGGAGGACCAGCAGAGCATCTGGCATGGATGTATCCACCACCAGCACAATGACAATTTCTACCACAGATGTTGTCAAAGTTCCCCTAGAT